CCAGCACCCAGCGAAGTCGTCCGGTCCAGCTCACTCATACCATCATCAAAATGCACCTGTTCGCGGTAGTCATTAACCAGAGCTTCCTCTTCGACATCGGATTCATCGTGTAGGTTGGCGTGCCGCCCGCTTGTGCGGTTGTTGTCGAAAGCCATGGCTTGGTGCGAGCCAGGCAACGGAGTGGGGAATTGGGAGTGTAGACTGGTGAGATAGCTGGTTGGCAATTGAAAGTGATTGCCGTATTAGGTGTTTGGGGGATGAAGGGGTTTTTCGCTGATTCTGTTGGTCCTTGGACATTGAGTTGGGCGAATTTCGAGGTTTCCTGGATTTTTTTTTTTTTCGCTTGCGGCTGTTTGGTAGTTTTTGTGCAGATATAGATGTTGGTCACGTGAACACCGCGAACAAGCTCGTGGTCGATGTTGTGGGATGGTTAATCTTCTCATTGTGCGATCGCTAGCTAACTATATATAGGGGTAATCACGTGCGGTGGAGGGCCGCCTACTAGTGCCCAACACCCCCCCACGCGCCAACGTGTATGATGTGTTCCTATGAATCTTCCATGCTAGCTATCTCAACTTGAATCATCCCAAAATCATGCTACATACAGAAATTGAATCATTCTCACTGTTATCAGTAAAAAGTTCTAGTAAATCAATGAAATGTTTAAATGTCACTGTGTTCAGAGATTTTATTAATCTGTCTGCTATCATATCCTCAGTGGGAACATGCTTAATAGAAATAATGTCTTCATTCAATTGTGTGTGAGAATAGTGAAAGTGAGTGTTGATATGCTTGCTGTGTGCTGTGATCACAGTAATAATAATTAGATTGATTGAATTTTTATTATCTACTTTGATAGACAAGAGATTTTTTACTGTAATGAATTCTAATTTCATTATCATATTACATAATCATATTGCTTTGCATACTGCTTTACTAAGTGTCATATATTTTGCTTCATTTGAATTTAAAGAAATATAAAATTGTTTAAATGAACATTATGAAATTAATGCATCTGTTAATTTAAATATAAAATTTAAAATAAATTGTATTTATTATTCAACAATTCTACTCAATCTGAATCTGCATAATTTATCAATAAATATGACATGTTAAGAAATTCATTAATCTTGTTTTTAAAATCTTGATATAAGATGTCAAGATCATTTATTTCTTTTAAATATTATATAATATAAAGAAAAACTTTTCATATTTTAAATGTAAATGCAATATTTTTTTATATTAATAAAAATACTGCTCATATAATATTTAAATATAATTTAACTGTCAAATATTGTAAATATTTTACTTTATATTAATATCATTTTTTAATGAATTCTTCTTCTCATTCTGATATAGAGATATCATCTATTTTCAATTTTTTAAATATTGATGTAAAAATAAAGACAGTGTCATCTAGATGAAAATCTTGCATTAAATAATTAATATAACATTTCAATATTAATTTTATAACATTATCAAAATAACATTCAATCTTTATATTTAATTTTGAAGATTTTTTTAAATTTTTTATTTTTAATTTATTAATAAAAATGTCAATTAATCAATCAACATCTGCTAAATTCTTTGCTATAATATGAAAATTGTTTATATAGATTGTCATATAAAGATGATTGTGAGATGTATAATATTATAAAATAAAATTATAGAAATTAGATTTGAAATCATTTTCATAAAATAATACTATAAAAAAATCATATCAAATGTTAACAGCAAAGTTCAATCTGTATAGAAAGTCTTCAACAATACAAATCATTGTATATGAAGTTGTAATAGACGCAATAGAGATATGTATATTAGAAAATAAATACATAACAATAGATACATAGCGATAGAAAGGCATGGAACAATCAATTATAATGAATGTAATATGATGGCAACATTGTCTATATAATGCTCACTAATATCTATAAATAGAGGATATCAGTGATTAACTTTGAATAATAGAGATTACTAGCTTTTAAATATTTTTTATATATACTTCATATTATTTTTATAACTATTTTTGTAACTTATTTTTTACAATTTTAATCACTCATAATCTTATCTAAATGATCTGTTGCTACACACATCTACAATAAAACTTGCAACATTGACTAAAATATACAAAATGATTTTAACACACACAGGATCTCTAAAAAATCAATCTGAATTCTCTGTCACTTTCAATGATCATAGTGTGTGATTGCAGCAGTTTGTAATAGGCGCAACGGAGATATCTATATTAGGAAATAGATACGTGGCGATAGATACGTGGCGATGGCAATATTATCTATATAATGCTCGCTGATATCCGTGGATTTTAGGAGATCAGCGATTAGCTTTGAACAATAGAGATTGCTACCTTTCTAATATCCTTTGTGCGTACTTCACACTACTCTTGTAATTACTCTTGTAGCCCATCTCTTACACAGTTGAATGATCAAATCTGTGAATGAGAACAACAGTTAATTATTCTACACATGCAATAACATTTTAATGAGTTGAAAACATAGATTTACAGAAATACTCTTATTGAAATTCAATCAATTCAAAACATCACTGCAAAGCTGCTGTAAAATCTACTCACAGATAATAGAAATGATGATAATGAAACATCATTAAAATTAAAGATAAAGAATTATTATTGAGGAAAAAATATATTAGAATTTAAAAATTATAAAGATCATATATTAACTCTTTTTACATATCACCATTGATATTATTGAAAAGAAGAATGCAAAATAAACAATATCAAACTTTATTTTAATGCTCATGTGAAGCATATCATCATATAAAAAATACAAAGTAGCAACATCACTAACATTTGATGATATGCTATCACATTTAAAAATGCAAATTAACAACCTGCAGAATGAACATCAATTAATGAATTAAAAATTTCAAAATATTAAACAATAAAAATAATAATCAATACATGACTTTTTTAAATATCTTGAAGACTGAAAGTATTACTTATCTTCATACAATGAAGAACAGAGAATGGATAATTTGTGTAATAAAACATTGAAAATATTACACACTGAACTCAACCATTGAAATTAAGAATCTCAGAACTATGAAAAATTGCTTCAAATTTTACAAATATTCAAGAAAAATATATTAGAATAATAACATATCATTCATAAAAGCAGATCTGTGATATTTGTAGAGAATCAGCATCATTTTAATAAGTTTAATAATCACTGAAATAAAAAGAAATGAGGAAAGCAGATGGATTCAACTGAACAAATCAAAAAAAATAAATATAATTAAATGAAAAAGTGCTCTCATTGTCATGAGAAAAGTCATATTGCAAATGATTGTTGAATATTACACTTTGAAAAGTGTGATCAAGTTCAATAAGCAAAAAACCAACAATTTAAATTGTAGAGGCAGCTACTGCATTGAGAATACAGACAATTAAACTGTGAAATTGTCATACTCTTGATTGTGTCAAGGCTTTGTGGCAGCTCTGCACAGCTCATCACTTCCCTTCTAATAATCCCATCTATTCCATGACATCACACAAATGTCCAAACCGGTTTCCAATCATTTTATAACATTATTTAAATGCAATAAAAGAGGATTCAATTGATGGAATATAAGAATTCTGTTTTTATACAGAATCAGTAGATTTCATCTGACAGATCAATGCAGCACTGCTGTGAAGATGCTTCAGCTACTCTCAATCATAAAGTGAGGAAAGAATGGTTGCTCATTGTCTATATAGAATTATTAGATACTGACTCTCTATTTCAGAAGCTAGTAATTCATCTTTTATCAATAAAATATCAGAGTTATCATTATTCTCATACAATATTCTTAGTGTGCTGAGTATCTCTGATAGTTCAGTATTTGTATAATATTCTATGAGCTCACAGTTCAAATGAGATAATTAAATTCATTCATAAAACTTCTCATCATATATCATTCTCCTCTGTGCCACTGCTGAGTAGCAACTGTCTTAGTGCTGTAATATTATAAGTCGAATTGCTTAATCTGATTACACATTGGAATTAGTTGAGATTTACATGATTACACATTGGAATTAGTTGAGATTTATTGATTGAAATGACTTCACACATTTATACTGAGACTGATCTGACTGCATCTTCTGAGAAAGCCTCCATATCATCCTCTAAAGTGTGTATATCTCTACCTCAGTAGAAATCCGAGATTTCTGAATTTATCACTCATTTTAATATGAGCTCTTCAATCACTCTGTCATCACTATAGCCTCTACACTTCTATGTCTACCATGAAGATAAAGGGATCAAAATTGGAGATTCACTAAATTATAAGAACAAGACACTGTCTGAATTCCACAGCTTCATAAAAGTTTTTAAACAGAAATTCTGCCTTAATCTGAAGCAGTTTAATATTCATGAAATATGAGTCATATATGCTGTGAGCCTTCTCAAAGATACCTTCGCAATTACATGAATTATCAAAAAAAGGAAGCTTGAGTGTAATAATACTGTTATAATATGAAAAGAATTTAATAACTTTCTTCTGAATCAGATTGAAAATCATCATAACTGCATCTTCATTAAAGTGCAGCAATTCAACTCATTACATCAATGAAATGATAAGAATCCTTTCAATTTCAATGCAAAATTCAAAGAATATTGAGAGAAATTATCTGATAATTTGAATTTATTGAAAACAAAGCTTTACCTCGCGAAGCTGATTCATAAAATGTGAATGATGATATTGCAATATCAAAGTTTGCTCATCAATTACATTGAGCTTGCTAACTTGACTTCTCAAATCTATTTGAATAATCAACATCATGAGAGGAAGGGGAACAAAACTTCCTCAAAGCAACTGACAACAAAATTAAAACAGCGTCATGATGACTCCGGTGTGAATGATGCAAAGAAGAACTCAAAACATTCCAGTTTTTCACTTATTATAAAGAAACATTAAAATAAACTGAATAACAATCTTTATTTTAATTGTGAAATCTTAGATCATTTTGTCAGTGATTGTTATAAGTTGAAGAAAGGAAGAAACTAAGAAAATATTTTCTTGAAAACAACTCCTCTTCTGACAAATGTATCCACTAAAGATAAAAAGGAAAAATTTAAAAAGAATTGACAATTCTCATGACTCTGAATGCATATAACCTTGAAGATGAATACCTCATCAG